TAAAAACATAAAGGCATACTTGTCTTCTGGCATTTGAAAAGGAATATATTGCCTATTTCCTGGTCTTTTCTGTATGTAAAGATTCAGCATATACATATACAGTACATGCCTATTTAGGTGGAACATTTTAAAGTGGATAAAAAAAGTCTAAGAAATATTTTCATTTTGAGAGTATGTGTAAAACAACACAATAATACATATGTGTTCAATTGGTTTTGTTTTCTGTTTCCCTTCCTTTATTTTCCTTTGCTCTTTTTTCATTCGTGTAGTTAATTAGGAATTGGACACATATGGTTCAATTCATTTAGCTAATGAGCACCTCTAAATGGTTACGACGAGACACTATCGCTCCTCACTTTCTCTTCATCTGTCTTTCCATTTCCTTCCATTTTCCCCCCTCAGACCTCTTTTTCCCCCCTGCCCTCCTCCCTTCCATTGTATTGACGCCCTGGGACCCCATCTGGGCCCTTTGGAGGCGTGAAATGCACAGTAATTATTAGTAATCATCACACACCATCAGAAACGGATCCTAGTGCTGTAATTACATGATAAATGTCTGCCTAACACATGCCCTCTATTTAGCAGCCCCCTGGAGACCGTGGATAATAGACAGCTAACAGGGATCCGCAGAATGGGCCTTTCAGCGCTGGCCGAGGCTCATTGTCTACGCGCCAATACACCCTCGCCCCCCGTTTGGCAACAACGCAGACCCCGATCAATCCCCTGCACTGCCCCCCCCCCCCAGCAGCCTTCTCACCCTTCCCCATACACACACACATCTCTTGTCAATGCTAAGTAGACAGCAACGTCAATCATTGGCATTACACTGCATTGCTAATGGCCTCCAAACAATTTCACAGGAGAGAAAAGAGTTTTGTTCAGCCATTCATCATGTAATGGTGACTTGGTTTAATGCTGCTGCCTCTGACCCCTGAGCAAAATGTGATAATTGGCATTATTATCATCAGCATGTCTTTTGTTGCTTTTTCCTTTATCGTTCTGATCAGAATGCAGTTTTTGATTGTGTTCTGTTGTCACCATACCCAAGTGGTTTTACACTGCAGACTGAACCCAATGAGGTATGACAAGCTTTATCTGCATACTTTTTTGGATTGCAAAGGATTGTATAACTATTTTTAAACATGTTACTATTACTACTATTATTTATTTGAATGTACACTCACAAGATGTACAAGTATATTTTACCAGTAGATTGATAATGACTGCTTTCCATGCATTAAATAACAAAGATAGTTGAACTTCATTTTTTTTATGGGGACAGGTGTTCACACTTAAAATTTAAATTACAAATGTATTTAACATGTGGAGCAATTTCTTTTTTAAATCAGCCAGGGGGCAAAGGAAACACACAATCAAGAACATAACATTCAGCACATATCCTATATTCCAAGTTTAACGCCATTACTTTTGTGTGTAGTGTGATTCTGTGTAGTTTATTTATGGCATCCCGTTGGATTTGACGTCATCTGAACAGGACATCGCACGCTCACGGCTTGATCCGTTTACTCCGGTTGTTAAACAACATCGTTATGGGGAAATGCAAGTTTGCGTCCAAATGGTTGGAAAATAAGGAGGAAGGACAATCAATACTGTATATAGTAAATGTGAGGTAAAGTGTGTCGCCAATGTAACCGGTTAAAACTCCAAGTGGCGATGAGGTCTTAAAATGTATGGAAAGGGTCTTAAAAAAGGTCTTAAAAGGTCCAGGTACATTAGACTTCAGGATTCCTGCATATACCCTGTCACAGCCATGTTTGGTGTGACACTGAAAGCACAGCCAAAGCTGAATGTCACAGAAAGGAGGATAAAAGGGAGGGGATGTCAACTCTGACTATAATGAGACTGAACCGCTGTTTTGAATGCAAATAAGGCCTAGGTGTGTCAATATACATGTGCACAGCTACTTTCAATGCTTGTATCCTTTTTTTTCATCAAGCGCTTCTTTATTATGTGACAACAGTGATGGAGGTCATCTCAGTTTGAATCTACATATGGACTGATCAGATATCCATGCAAAGAAGGATGCTCTTATCTCAAAGCATATTGTGAAATGAGGAATAGAGTTTTTGAACAACAAGGGGAATTTGCCTGAGATTTGCCTATAGCTGACGCCAAACAACGGTCAACTCTATGGGGACATTTTATATATTAGCCCAGGCGGGCCCACAAGCATGTTGGCTGTTAAACAAATTTGATTTATACTGTATTACACCTTGTTAAAATATTAACAGCAATTGCTTTTGATGTTGGCATACTTGCTGTTTATTTCTTGTTCCTGTTCATTCATGAATACATAAAATAACCGATTCACTGCCCTTCGGTTGCCAGTTGGTACTATGGAAAGCCCAAACTACCTGTTTACCTGAAATGACAGTTACAGAGAGAGAGTTGTGAATTTAATAAAACAAAGGCAGTTTGAGATTAAACTACAACTATAGTTTACCTGCATCAAAAGTAACTGATGTTCGTAAGATGTCAAATACATTTGATTCTGACAATACTTCATTTTACCTCCAGATGGCAACAATTTTCCTTTTTTCCTTTTTTTGTAATAACTTCATGAACCAAAACAAAAAACTGTCCTTTGTTTTAAAAATATTAATACATGCATTTAATCGATGCTGCAAAGAGATTAATGTGTTCCAATCTGTTGATCAGTATGTATCCTTTCATTAGTTGAGTCTTTATAATCTTAAGCTTATTGACCACCATTGCCATGCCAAGACCACACACAAGCACACAGAAACTACAAATGCATCAGTTCTGCCTCAACACAAAACCAAAAGCAGACATTGAATGAATAGCAGCGCAATCTCAAGCAGAGGCTGACAATAACAGACATATCAACTATCTCCTAATTGATACAGCTAGGCGGTCAGTCCGTCACTTAATGAATTGCTAATAGCCCTCAGCAATGCTGTGAGTGACAGGGGCCGAGCATTCCACCTGGTGGAGCCTGCCTGGGGACCGCAGTGGATGGGGATGCTTCTCATTAATGGGGGCGGGATGCCTGGCAATTGTTCAGTCTTGTGTGGAGAGGCCTCTTGCACATGGAGGCCACGCTTCTCCCTCAGATAGCCCCCATAGCCTCAGACAGCCGAGTATCACAGAGTCACCGATAATGAAGACGTGATCAAAGAGATGCAGCATTCCAGCGGGCCTGGCCAAGCAACCGAACAGGACGAGGCAGAAAGGCAGAGAGAGAGACTGACAGCAAGACAAGGAGAGAAAGGAATAGATGGGATGAGGGGGCGATATGGAGAAAGGGGTGATAGTCCACTCTGCATAGCAATGCTGCAATTAGAGAGTTTGTGAAGCATAGTTCGGCTGCAAAAGAAACGCATTGATCTGCAAGCATGGCCATCAACACTGAGAAAGTGCTCGACAAAATGGGTTGGTGTGCGATGGTCAATTAAACTATTTTAATGGTTAAACTGAGCCAACGTGAATAAAGAATTGATGTTACCTTTATCATATATGTATATTTTTGTTTTATCTGCAGCAGTCAAACGTGACTAAGAGTATCTCTGTAGTTTTGTTCCAGCTAACGCAACCTGTACACAAATGTTGTTCATGTTAAAAACAGCAAACAACATCTGTTTAAATAAAGTGACACTTTTGAAAACACCTAAGAATAAAAGTCATAGAACGAATTATGGTTAGAAGTAGAGGTACGTATGCTACTCATTCATTTGCTGCACTTGCCACAAGCAGCAGCGTTATTTATCTTAATGCATATAACTGCGAGCCCTTCAACTGACCCATAATTTGCTACTAATAACTGCTGTGGGTGGAGTGATTATAGCTTTTAATTAGTGCCAGCAGCTTTTACTAGTGCTACCCCAGCTAAAGGGCCCTTGCTGTAATTGTTAGCCATTATAAATATAGTACGTGGAAAGTATAGGGGGGCCGATGACGCCTCTTTGTTAACTGCTGGTGATTGAGCAATTAAACTTTGGCAACTTAATTACCTCTTCACAACAACATGGCTTTGAGGCATTAAGACTGGCGTTATGGTAAACATTGCTGTCAGAGCGACGGCCTTGAACTGGGTGATGCATGAGTCTGAGTTTATCACCAGCTGCTACCAGAAATAAACAAAGCACATAATGTCAGGTGTAAATTAACAACGTTTTTTTTGTAAAATCGTTCATTTCGTTATTTAAAAATGTTAATAATTACTTTTAGAATACTAAGTGTATATGATAGTAATCTATGTAAAATGGGAGTAGTGGTATTTCTTTTTGTATTACTACTGTTGTAATAATATTGATATGACTGACCTCCAGGCTCTTAGTTAATTGTGTACTCAATGTAACTTATTGTAGAATCCATAGAGAGGAAAATCGGACCCCACAAGCACTGCCTCTGCTAGCTCTGAGCATAGAAAGGCTAACAGATGTTGCAGAGAGCAAAACAAAAACCACCAGAATAAAAACCAACATTCATTCGTCAGGCCAAGTAGGAATCACACTATGCAAGCTCCTCATTAAGTGGCATTAAAACTGTGAAGGTCTATAATTATCGAATAAATCCTTTCCCACATGAATGAATTCATCTGCGTGCCATAATTCTTCCCCACACAGAGCAGCTCTGGTGGTGAATGAGTCTTTTGTGCACCACTGTGGGAAGGCTTTTGTGAAATTACACCTCTGCATAATGATGCTAATCATAAATTAGCATTTCAAGATGGAGCAGCATGTTTGTGTGTGTGTGTTTGCTTGTGAGTGTGTGCATGTATAGAGATTGGCAAAGTAAATATAAGCAATCTAATTTTAATAGTTTATCACTAGTTCACTACATTTCAGAGTATTTGAAGGCATATTCAAATATCCTTTTTTTTAAAAACGCATTGTGCCATCTTCTTGCAGTTGTATACCACAATCAATGACTATAATTTGTTGTGAAATGTAAAGAATGTATCTGATGTGAAATCTTAAATATGACTCATGGTTTGTTTCAATGTTATTTTCCCTCAGGCAGCTGCAGGTCACCGAGGATACACTGCAGATTGTGAGAGAAGTTGAACCCAAGACTGACCTCTTTGCTTGAAAGTAAGTTTCATCCCTTCAAATCTTTTTCATTCCTGTTTGCTTTTTCATTCTCCTCTATAACTATAAATCTCTCATTTCCGCCTTTTATTTTCTTAAAACTGCTGCAAAAATTGAGAAATAAGCCAGTGGACACTGCAACACAGGCGAACATAAAATCAACACAAAACACAGGCATTGTGAACACTAATAGAAGCCACATGACGGTGATATTAGATTCAAGTTTCTATTCATTGGCTGAGAGTAGCAGGTGTGTGTTTCATTACCCACCAAAGAAAACACGACTCACTGTGGGCTTCTTAATGTAGGGGCTTGACCAACTAATGAAAGCAGACAAAGAGAGCGATCTAGAGGCAGCGCCCACTCTGCGCCTCACACACACTTAGCACCAAGCTGGAACCTTTGCCAATTAGGACCTGTTTGTTTGATGTGACAATTAACAAGGAGGCGCTCATTCATTAATCCCAATATGGTTTCACTCTGCTCATTACTACGATGTCCACCTTTGTTACAAACATCCGTATTTTGAAGGAAAGGGACACGTGTGGATGCTATTCATCATTAGTTTGCCTTGTGGTAGATGTTGTGGTTGTGTGTTTATTCATATTAAATAGTTTACTTCCTCCAAATAAGTAAATAATTGAATATAAATCCTGAATTATATGTAAATAGGCCTGTTGGAGTCATTAAGATGGACACTTGTAAGTCGCTAATAATGGTTCAAACTCGGCGTCCTCATACGATTCTTGATATTTACTCGCTAACTCAAACATTGTTTCCAATCACTAGAACAATGACAGTCAATATGTGTCGTGGTTATAAATAAATGATTTGCATGAACTAGACTGACCTCAGAACAAGATACACATGTAAATGATAACTGATGCAGTGTGACACACAACAAAAGGTTACTGAAAGATTTCCAGTCTCCACATTTCAAATTAAAATAACATTTACCTAACCTCATTAAAATACACATTGTTGTACATTTACAGTTAGTCATTGGCTGGCCTCTGTTGTTCTCCAGTGCCATTTATTCCATGCCATTGTGACCACAGTGCTTTGCATATTTCTCTCTCCTTCTTTGCCAAACAAATGGAGCTCGTACAGTATATGCAAAGAATATGGCTTTTCAAAGATAGAACGTCATGCAAACAAAGACATCGAACATACTGTATTCCTGAACATCACGACCGCTTCCACATTGTTTCCTAATCTAATTGTTAAACATTATTTCACAAAATGCCCAATTCCCAATTAAAGCCCTTTCTATACTTTTGAATTTCAGGTGGGGAGACGAAGAAGTAGCTCATTTTGGAGGGTTTCTTTTCTTAAATATACATATAAAACCCACTCCATCATCTATAGCAAAGGCACAGCACAAAGAGGGAAAAGGCTCACATCAAAGCCACAAGCTCAAAAACAACATTTTACTACAGTAAAAAAGTGAGAGCTGAAGTTCTCGCAGGTATCTATATTTAATATATTGTGTTTAAATGTAAAACAAATGTCAGTGAAAGGAAGCTGTGGCTGTGAGTGTGCACTAGGTGGTGCCCCATCTCTTCACCAAGACAAAACCACATGGTGGTACTTCTCAGCTAAATCCTACACTAAACCTGTAATGACCACACTGTGCATGCAAGCAGAGTGATGAAGCGTTAGAGTAAGTGACAGAATATCAAGTTACCAGCACTGATATATGTTGTTTTTCAATCAACTTGTTCTTTTATATTTTTCGGACAAAGGAAATATGTACAAAAGGTTGCTTGTAGTAGTATAGGAAAAAACAGATAAATGTGACAGATTCACACATATAGGCACAGTTAAACCACGCACACACACTTCCACACACACTTATATAATAATGCACTCACACATATAAGTGCATACAGCTCTGTACACTCTATACACTCGCTCTGTCTCTCCCCACACCCTCTCTCTCATAACTCATAATAATGTGATCTGAAGAGAGAAAACTAGTGCTGCTTGATTAAAAGGGATTCAGGTGATGAAGGCTCCAGTCTTGTTGCTGAGGGCCTATAGTTTCAGCCCGGCCCAAGGCAGCAGCTGGGAGCGTAATTACACGGGCTGATTTATACATCATTACGGCCTCCATATAAGTCACCCCTTTTGAAAAGAGCAGTTAAGCTACTTATACTTTTCACAAAACAGCAGCAATTCTGTATAAAATGAATGTATGCCGTTCCTCTGAAAGCATATGGTATATTTCTCACCTATTAATAATTCAAGTTGAATGAGCAAAAATTAGTTGGCTCGGTTACCGCCGCGTTTGTCCCACATTAATTTCACCGACATTTTGTAAATGGGGCTATTACGCTAAAAACAAAGCAGAGTGAATGACCACGCTTTGCCGTACTTAGGAAAAGAGAGGGCCTCATTCGTACACCTGTCATTTTCAAACAAGGCACCATTATGGTTTGCAGAGAGGGGATATCACACCTTTCATTTAGCTGTGTCCCTTCCCTGGAAAAGCAGTAGCCTTGAAATTGTTACCTGCGAGAGAAAGCCATTTGCAATCTGAAAATCCAGACATTTGCTTTTCACTTCACAGTCTGTCAAATGGCCGCATTTTATTCACCATTTCAAAATGAAAAAAGCATAACATTAGCATTTCTACTGAGGCAATTACAAAGCCTGCGTGTGTGCTTTACCCTTCACCTATTTTAATTCTACACAATGCATGCATTGAGTTACTCCTAAACTCTAAAAGTCATAACTAAGGTTTGATTGAAATCAAATGAGGTCCTCATTATTTGGGTAGCTGCAGAAAACACAAGTGAACAGGTGTTCTTTGAGATGCATCAGAGCATATACATTTTAACAACCCTTGACACCTCATATTCACACTGAGTTTGAGCACACACACACACACAGACACACACACACACACACACACACACACACACACACACACACACACACACACACACACACACACCCCCACACACACACACACACACACACACACACACACACACACGCACACACAGAAGAGTCAGCTCAATGGGGCTGAGCACATTGTTGCTTTAACCTTCTGCGCCAGTTATCCCTCTCAGAGCTCCAAGCCTTGGCAGCTAACTCTATTGGCTTTTTGTCATAGAGCCTTGGCTTGTACAGTGGCTTTGGGTTGATAGCAGAGGGGGAGAACAAAACGGCAAGAAAAAAAAAAGCCTTTCTTTCACATTGTTTCTGAAGTGAGTGAGTGTGAGCAGGGGCTGGAGGAGGCCTAGTCAGGGCTTGTAGGGGCCCCGTCGTCTTGGGGTCATTATGCTCGGCAGATCATTAGGCTCTGAAGAGGAGGCACACGACACAGCACCCACAATCTCTCAGCTGTGCTGCCAACCCCCCGTCACCCGACCCCTTAAGCTACTCACCAAGACTGAGCGGTGAGTAAATGACCTGACCCCTGCCAGCCACTCTGCTAAATACTTGTATGGCTGCTTGACGCTGAGATGAATGAACGCAGGCAGCAGACTTCCTTGCTAATCCCCAGTATAGCACGTAGGCTGCAAAACGGGTAAATAACTAGGTGTTCACATTTCCTTTTGTCCCCTTTTATGTTTATTTGGTGACCTCCTGCACCTTGGGATTGGAGAGAGTTTTGTGGTGAGGTTGAATGTTCCCTAGCCAGGTCAAGTGAGCTAGCATAGAAATGGCTACATTCAGGAATCTGCAATTCAACACTCACATGTGCAGATTGAATGTGTTTGTGTCATTATGATGTTTTACATGATGAATTCTGTCCTTAATGGAACCATTAGCGTGCAGGAAGATACCAGTCATACAGAGGTCATATCTCAAATGGTGCATGCCATAAATTTAAGGGCAGTGACAAGTGAGAAGCGTTGGATTCGTATTGGTTGATACATTTACAAACTCAGCCCTCTCTCCGTCGCTCACCTCCCGACTCCCTCGCTATCTCTTCCTGCTTCGCTTGAATGTCACCACTCTGCGGGAGGATTTAACGTTGCTTTTAACCCTCACCGCCTCATAATTACCTTGACATTTACCCTGCATTCAATCAAGTTTTAACAGCAGATTTATTGCAATGACTTTTTTGTATTGCAGAAGGCAGCAGTAATTATGCAGGTTATTAAGAGTCTTCGTGTTAATGCAGTTTTATATCGATAACATTCGGCATAGACTGTTTTCCTGTGTGGAAGAGCACAATGTCAGCTGCCTTTTTAAGACGGAGTGACACAGGAAAGGACAGAAATACTATTAGATGAAGTATCAGATGACTTGGGGTATGAAGAGTGGAAGAGGGTAGCACTGCTTCTCCCTCCTTTATTGCTCAGGTTATTATCACAACTGCTGGGGAATTGTCGAGACGGGGAGATAGGAGTGGCAACGATCCATCCGGGACTCGTTCATCACCATGCGCCGCAGCCCCCCGAATAGAAATTACATCTGCATCTGAATTAGTAACATTATTCGCCAATTTGGCTCAGAGTGAACATTGTTCCATTGAAGGTGGAATTAAATTAGAAAATGAGTGAGTCTTTAATTTTCAGATTATAAATCAGGGAATATAATTCACCTCCTTGTACCTTAAGGGCAATCACATTATCCTAAGCGACATTTTATCCTCAGCCCCGCCAAGTGATCTCGTCACGACACGCAGTCACACACCAATCATGCTTCCTGGGGAAGCAGGAAATACATCTCCTCCAGAATTAGATATTAAATATGAGTGTCTTCTCCTGTGTAAGAGCTTATTTCACATGAAATGTGACAGTCCTTTTGACTCATAAACACTGTAGAGAATTACAAGGCTCAAGTGATACAGCTTTATTTTTCAGCACAGTACATGAAGTACATCATTTTGTTAGTTGAAAATCAGCTGAACATGTATAATATATCATTATATAAGCACAGATTATATTTGACACATAGAGAAAGGCATAGTAACATCCAAGGCTTTTCTTAACTATAAAAAAACACTATTTTGCCTTTTGTTGAAGTATTTCATCTTTTTTAT